TGAAAGTTGTTGAGTGATCCTTGATGGTAGTTAGGAATATACATGCCTCAAATTATTTATATTCTCTAAGTGGTGTGCACACTGTGGTGATACAGCTTCTAATGATAGCACAGAGCCCACCACTTTTGCCTGTCAGTCTGGGAATGGAGTGGATGGAGTAGCTTGAAGGTGTTAGCTCGGTCTGGGTCTGATCAGAATAATCTGCATAATGACTATGCTAACCGCTGCGCTCTAGTGGTTGGTTGAATTAAGATACAGGACCTTGAATTTAACGTCTGTCTCCGAAAGCGACTAAGGCAAGCGACAGAAAACCATGACAACCTCGCAAATTACCTAAATCCATGAACGTTCCAATTGTACGAATGTAGTATGTTGGCCTCTGAGTTAACGGAAAGCTCCGTGATGATGATGTTGATGATGATGATGATGATGATGATGATGATGATGATGTATAACTCTTGAAAGAGTGCAGATGACAATGATCTGGATAATGACAACGATAACAACAGCGGTATTAACCCTCACCCGAAAGAACGAAAAAAAAACAACTTTGATCGTCTAAAGAAATAAAGCACGAAAACAAAAACCAAAACCCCCAGATCCCCTGGTCCTAAGGTCTTATGAGCGCGGACCTTGCTATTGGGAGGCTGCTGAGGCTTTCAAACGTCTCTGTGGCGGTGATCTACAGCTACAGTTTTCATCCCGACAATTTGCATTTACATTGCTTTTGTCTAGAGTGTAAGATGTCCCTTTAACCTCATTCTGGCTGGGTTTGAGTGTGAGCTAATGAGACTAAGCGAGAGAGTTGTTGAGGTATTGAGAGGTGGGGGGCAGGGTGAGTGAGTGAGTGAGAGAGAGAGAGAGAGAGAGAGAGAGAGAGAGAGACAGACAGACAGACAGAGATAGACAGACAGACAGACAGATAGATAAACAGACAGGCAGGCAGACAGACAGAGAGGACAGTAACATCACAATTTCTTTCAAGCAGTTCCCCCCTCCTTCCCCGGAAAATTCATTTAGCCGCAACGTCCGCCTAACAGCAACAAAGGCTTGCTTTCCAAAATATGTGTTGCAGTTGCAGGCTGTTATGCGGACAGAACAGTACTCTATTTCGGTAAGCATGGACTTGACATGACTTTAATTCACCCCTCCTCCACGCCGCCCCTGACTTGCCCCTTCCATTGTCCCGAATGTATGTAGTAGTTCAAATATCAGTTCGTATTTAAAGAGACTGGTGACGTAAGTTTGCAACAGTTACAGGTTTACAATAAAGACATTCATTCTTTATACAACACTGAGTATCTAGAAAAAATCCTATGTAAACGGTTCAATATCAGCCATCTTTGCAGCAATGTCAATAAAATGTGATACATGTGTAACATACAATCCAATTTCAAGATGTGTCATGGAAAAAACATACCATAAAATATTATATAATTGTAATCATTGTTTGATCTTTCTGTGAGTCCGCTTGCCAATATAATTAATTTATGTTTTTGACCAAACAAAATGTTCACCCCCTTTTCTTCTTGCTCTGCTTTCTTATCACCCG